AGAAACTCGACGCGGCACATCTCGTCGCCTTACACGTCGCGAGAAAGGTAAACATTGATTCAATCGGGCCCGTTTCTTGTGTCAGTGGCTATGCTGCCAGCAAACCACTCCTAGCCAAGCCAGATCCAAACTTCCAACTTTTTTTCAGGTCCCTGCAAGCTAGCCTAAGGGTGGCTCACGCTGCGGAGGGTGCAGGTCCAGCGAGTGGCATAGGAGAGGGGGGGGGGAGCGAGAGGGAGCGAGAGGGAGCAGACAATGAGTGACAGATGCGAGCAGGGGTGATAAATGGTCCTTTAAACTACTGGAGCAGAAATGGATGGTCCGGTCCTCAACTCCTGCCGGCATGGAAACAAAGCTAACAGTTTAATAAACGGGACTCGATTTATAGCGCGAGGTGGATGACAACGGAGGTAAACAAACAAGCGACCAGTCCGTTAGCAAAAGTTGTTCTTAACATTTATGTAGAATTATAATTCTCTTTTGACCTACACTGAAAATCTTTCCATAAATAATGATTGCTCTATGGAGTATTTAGAAATAACTAGTGTACAGGGTGATCCGTCAGCGCCGTTCTTTCTTCTCGTTGTATACTGTTGAGGCGTGCGGACGTACGCACGCTTGCATTCGGTATACACCCAATGGTACAGGACTAAAAGTTCAGGAAAGGTCCAACTATTAAAAGAGTGTTCTACTGCTTTGAACTGGAAGGGGCGTGATGGGGGGTTGGTCCCGGCGGGGGATTTGCGTACATACAGGAGCAAAAGCCACCCCCCACCCTCCTCCTCCTACCTGGCCAGTAACGTCCCTCGCCGCCAGGATCTGTGGAACTGTTCTACTACTGTTGCGTTTACAAGAATAGAAAACAAAAACACAAACCTAGAGTTATTTCTGTTTATTGCGTGCAGCGTCTGCTTATGTCCACGCGCTAGTAATTACTGCAAATCACGCGGGCTGGCCCACAGCCGCTGCAAAAAATTTATTGTCACAATGACGGCAATACCATGGCGAATTTTTAGTATGGGGATGTCCTCATGGGTTTTCTCGTCACATCCCCCAAAAAACTTGTGACGACATCCATTTCTACCTTACAATTGGCCACGGTGCCGTCATCTTGACAAAAAAGTCTTACAGTGAGCGTCCGAAAAATCTGAGTACGACGCGCGGCACGAGGTCGGCTGGACGGCCGCGCCACTCCTGTGAACCGCTGACATTACAGAGAGTTTCAGTGACAGTTGGGCGGGCAGGTGGCGTGCCTGTTGCACCGAGGCGCGTGCGGCGCGCACGCCCCGCCCCGCTAAAGCGCCACAAGCACAACACTCGGCGCGTGGCGCCGCGTGGCGCGCACGAGGCGTGCATTAGCTGATCCGCCCCGCCCGCCGCCGAGCACGTCGTGAGCACGGCGTGAGCACGGCCGCCACGGCCCCGCATTACGCGCTGTTTAACCAAATTAACACCCTGGCCTGTGGCTGGACCGGCCACTTCAGCTGCCGGCCGGGGGTTGGCAGCACACGGTAAAAAGTTTCTCTAGGATTGCAAGCAGGTTATTTCGTGAATTTCAATTAAGACGGGTGGATAATTTCAATATCGACCCTTGAAATACCAGAATGTGCCTTGTAACCCTCTGCTTCCAAGGGGAAGCCTTAGAATTTTTTTCTGGTAATCCAAGGCTACCCCTTGCATATCAGACCAAAAATTGATGTGGCCGGTATTGCGCAGCATTCTTATGTGAGGGGAACACATAGACAGTTACTTGTCTTACTGAAAGACATGTCCATAAGTCATGATCGTTACTACACTTAAACCCTGTGGCTGGTTCAACCCCCACAGCTTCGTTCTTTTGGCAGTATCGCACGCAATCACAGATGATGGAAATTGGAGAGCATTTTGCAGTGCCCTGGATTACTAGTACTCACGGTGCTATTTGTTGTAATACAACCTTTTTGGGTTGCGTCTTTGACAACGCATCAAGCCGCTTGTAATCCGCTTTTAAAATATGGGGGGTGGAAAAAGGGTTAGAGAGCACCAGGGGGCTCGGGGTGGACAGAGGGGAGAGAATGAATGAGAGCCAGGGGAAGGGGGAGGGGGATCTCATCCCCGTTCTTTAAGTCACACCAGGCCCAAACGAGTTCCTGATCAAAGGATCCATTTTCTCCTAAAGACACGCGTAGTCGGTACCAACAAAGCGTGTTCATGTATAGTGATTTTGCGCGCGCAACTTTGTAGATCACTTGGAAGATTTCCCTGCTAGTCGTACTTTGTCCTTAAATTGTTATAAACTAAGATCAACAAATATTGAAAACTTGGAAAGATAACTTTGATGTGTATGATGCCTTTTATTGAATTGACACATGCTTTTGTTTGTGAAGCTATAAAATTGAGTATCTATTGATTCTACTTGTGATGCTACCGCCATTGCGATCTGCTCCGGAGCTTAGCCGCTAATGCAGCGCGAGCTTAAGCACGGTTGAGGTGAGGTCACGCTTTATCCTGAGGTGTCGGCGTTGTCGCAGTCCCCGACGGTCCCCTCGTGCGACCACGCGCCCTCGCCTCCCCTCTGACAGGACAAAAACCGTCTTTATCGAAACACATGCAAAGCGAAAAGGAAAAAAAAAGTATCTGACGTAGATTTTCTAAAAACTTTCGAAACGCACAAAAAATAATAGTATAAAAAAATAGCACGGCGTGTCAGACCATAAAACGAATATCCTGAATCATTCTTGCATGAGTTTCCCTTTTTTGGCTCTGCAACCCCAGTGACCGCATCATTTCTTTTATCAATATTGCAAAAAACTGCACTTCGCGTAATTGGCCCCTGCCGGCCAGCCCTGGCCTCTCTTTTCAAAAACTTGCAAATCAATCTCTTTTTGCCACCCTTCTCAATTACCGGTCGGGGTGGGTGAATAAAACGCAGCTCACGTAGCCGTTCAATGACCTACTTTTATTTTTTCCCCTATTTCCATTAAGCGGAAAAAGTATGAATCAAGCACCTTTCGGGCGCCGAATGCTCCGCAATAGCAATGCGGCTAAAGCAGAAGAATTGACCAAAGCAATTTTATAGAATGAACAGATGCGAGACCATTTATTTAAACTACCATATACTGATACATACTTGCACTTTGCTTAGGTTTTGTGCGTACTGCAAAGGCTTTGGCTGCTTGCTTAGTTAGCCCACTAATTTGCTAAGAACATAACAGTGTACATGGTGTCCCATTATACACCGTGTGGTTTGAATGATGAGCAACTTCTGCAGGTTCAATTTGCAACGTAAAATATAAGTGGTCAAGAGAGAGAGAGGGGGGGGGGCGGAAGAATAAGGGTAGCAACGCAAGATTGCATCAGTAAGTTTTGTAGCACCATCGAAGGGAGCCGAGCATCGCTATAGCAGCTCATTCGGACGCAGCAGAGGGTAGCAGAACATTATAATGGATTCTGTGACGATGCGCCAGCCTGCATGGCATGTCTGCATGCGGCATCCAGAGTGCAGCTGAGCAGGGTCAGAGAGGAGAAGAAAGCACAGCTCGCACCCTCCTCGTCCACACGCGAGTAAAACACTCCAAATTGCAACTTCCTGGCCCTGCAAAAGGCCACCACCTTTAATCTATTTCTACTGTTACACAAAATATGTCGTTTTCTTTTTACGAAATTTTGCTTGGTTAATTTTTTTTACGAAACCGTTGTGATTATTAAAATTACTTGAACACGTTCCGATCGTAAAAAAAATGCTCAACAATTCACCGGATTGAACTATTAATATTTAGAATTGTCTGCGAGTCGCCCATTGGACAGAGCAGCGCAACCCTACGTCAACATCGGGGGCTGCGACAAGAGTGTGCGATCACCCACCCTTCTATTGTTATCAATTAAGTGGCCCAGTGCGGGCTGCGACGCAAACTGGTGCAAGAAAAACAATGTGACCGGACCGCGATGCTTTGAAAAATAACAAAACGGTGGTTCGGAAAACACGATAAATTGAACAAACCATTTTTTCCCGCTCTTTCAACTTGTCGTCCTCCACTTCCTCCTCTCCTAAAAGTAGTGTGGGAAGAACTTATGAATATATCGGTGACAATAATCCCTCTTGAGTGTGAGGACGCGTTCCCACGCAGGTGTGAAGAGGATGGCCCGCGCGTGCGTCTGACACGACACCGGCCGCTGGGCCAGCCGTGGGAGAGTGACGGCCGACACGATTAGCGAGCATCAAATGCATTTCACTCGATCGAAACTTTTGCTATATTCTGTGCCTGCTTGCACTATCGCCCCGCCTGGGGAACTTTAAATGAACACAAACCTAATCTGGACACATGGACTCTGTTCGAATCCCTCCGGAGAGTGGAGAGTTTATAAACTCCACCTGAATTAATTTTAACTAGTGCAGCAGGCACGGAATAGCAAAAGTGTCTGCCTCCCAGGTCGACTGTTATGTACCATCAGTAAATCTGCCATAGGTTAAGTGTAGAACGGAACAGTGTGAAATTAAGGCTATCATAGTAATTTTATTCCTCCTAGATATACACAGAAGTCTAAAGTACTCTGAAAACTCATGTGTGAGGCAGTCTCAAACCAAATGGTGCGAAGCAAACATACCTCACACTAAGTAGTGTGACACCGTCCGTGCCTCACAACAAGTAGTGTGAGACCCTCCGTGCCTCAAACCATTTAGTGTGACACTTCCTCAAACCTGCGTTTCCAGAGAGTGCAGTTCATGGTCATGGAGTGTGGAAGAGGCAAACTAGGCTCATTTATTGATAAAACTGTCATTTCATGTATTATTTTAGGAATACACAACGTTTTTCGAGATTGTGCTAAAAACGTAACTTGAAAATGAAACACGAGTAAGACAGGTGTCCTTATGTGTTAACTTTAATTTATTGAACATTCATTTCACACATCAGATAAAATATTACAAAAAATTCACTTCCCTGTGCACAACACATTCAGTCTTGTATTTTCCCTAACAACATAAATATGAACTTTCTATTACGGATGTGGAAGTCAAACTGTTATAATTTATTTTTTTCTAAACTGACTTTGGTAATAGCGCTTTATATATTCTGACCACGGCTTACGTTTTGCGTCTGAGTAGGAGCTGAGATTCACATATACACAGACAACTGTATTGTAGTCTACTAGCTAGCTAAAGACTGGAAAAATCAAAGTAAGAAAATAATTCTACACGATATTGATAAGCATTGTACTATTATCACAAAACCCCCCTTTGTCATGGCTTAACATTAGATGAGTAGTTTGATCTGGAGCAATGTGCCCATGGCTGTTCAGCTTGGGAACCTCTCTCTCTGGCGTTCGGTATATTTCTTTATTCAACGGGCTGGGGCTTGGGCTCTGGGAAAACGATCCTGTAGAAGGAAGCAACCACGAGGTTCGCCAACATTGGAGCGACCCAATAGAGCTGCAAAGAAGAAAAGATAGTTTGAGCCGGCTTTGCTGCATAATTATTAATTCTTTTGGTGCTTCTTCGATTTTGCAGTGTGCTGTAACATCGATCTTCAACACTGTGAAATTTGTAGCCTAGGATAGATTGTAAAAATTTAACAATCATGATGGAATTCCTGAATTTGAAGAGGCAATTAGCTGCTACCCGCTTGAGGATAGTGACGAGCTGAACTAGCTTGGCATGTGTACACCGACTTTATTACGTAGTAATGTTAGAAGACTCTTAAATTTTAGGCTTGTCTGTTACCAATACCAAACTACGTTTGACGTTCTTTTTTATGTGCCATAACTTATGCCGCCACTAGGATATTTAAATGTCGCAGCATAGCGCCTGTTCTAAACAGGCTCCATACTGTACACAATGCTATGTCATATAATACTGGAAGATAATAATGAATAATGTGTGTTTAACTTACCCAATGATTGTCCCAATAGTTCCAGACAACGGCAGGGCCAAAGGTCCTGGCAGGGTTCATGCTGCATCCAGAGTACTGGACCTGAAAAGTAATGCGAGTTTGTTAGTCAAGCACTGTAAATAAAAGTCGTTATCTCTCCCCCCCCCCACCCCAAATCTGTCCAAATAGTTTGGAAACAGTATTTTTCAAAAACATTGTTGGGATTTTTTCAAAAACATTTTGATCAACTTGGAAAACAATTGGGTTTAATAACAATTAATATGGCAATTTTTGAATCAATTTAGAATCGTTAGTCAGGAGTTCAAGGGAAGTTTTGAACTTTCTTTAAAGTTTCTGGTTTCTAATTTTTAAAATTGTCTTGGGTGGAACTTTTTCCGGTAGTTGTTAAAATAAATAAATTAGTGCGGATGATAAATTAAATGGCGTATTTTCTAGGAAACCTACTCCTCCATATGCGATGGCGAAGACTCCCAAACCGAATCGCAGAGATACTGAGTCGTGCTTGTCCAGGTTTCTTCTGTCCCAGACAGCGCAGGCGAGCAAACTGAGCAGGGCTGGGTTGAAAGAAAATTTTGTTTTTACAAAACATAGACAAAGTTCTGTTATAGTGTTTTTAGTGACGAGATGCAGTGTCGTGCGTAGCCTCCTTGTCAGGGGTACACTACCTTAGCTAGCTGCTTGCATTGATACCTGATGAGTTCGCCGTAAAAGAACTGCCTGCAAGTATTTAACACCTTGTGGATTGCTTAGGTGTGAAACTGTTTGACTGTAAAGTTGAGTGGTTCACTGTGTTTAAACACGTGAACGTATTCGCTGCGGTCTTAAACACTTGCAACCACTTGTTAGTCGAACACATCTGATATCAGTACAATTACTCTATATACTGCAAACGTCATGTTGTTTCTAAATCATCCAAATATAGCGACATAGCTTATACACACTAGACAATATAGACACGACTGCATCTTCACCTCAAGCACGTCACATCAGTAATTGCAGCTACATATAGGGCTCACCAGAGAAAATGAATTCGGACCAGAACTGCTGGCTGCCGGACAGCATTGGGTTGGGTGCATTGCAGCACAAGTTTGGCATCGGCTTGTCGGGGTTTGTGACGAAAGCGTTGGACGGTGTGATACCCTGTGGACAAAATAAGAACTGTAGCATTGTCCTCATACACCTAGACTCCTGACCCAAAGGTATACTCACGTAGAGAATGGAGAATCCAAGTACGGCGCCCAGGCACTGGAAGATGGTGTAGATAAACCACATGGGCAGAGATAGCTTGCCCAGGATCATGGCGGTGAGCGAGAGGCCGGGGTTCATGTGCGCGCCGGATACGTGGCTGAAGGTCTAGAAATATGAGAGGAGGTTAATAATATAGCGTTATTCTCAAGGTA